GGCACTGTGCTTGTATTGCCACATGGTTCCGGCATAGAATGGGCTACCCCTTCCTGTGAACGTGGATGTCGTAAAAGGCAACTAAGGGAGCATAATAGCCGAGGGATGGGCAGTAGCGTCCCTCTTAAAACACCACCAAAACCTTACTACAGTTTCCAATCCATTTAACATTTTTTTATGTAACTTAGAATGGCAAACAATGTTTTTGCATGGCTGTATTTCAGTTTGAAGAGCGGGATATAGCAGTGAATTTACTGGATACAGAGGAATAACACCTAAGTCCTCAGGAATGGCAACGCATGGGGGTATCATGGGCGAAACAGTATGTTATGTCCATGGTACTGCTCATATCTATAGAAGACGGTTACCACTTTCCATCAAATGGGTCGTCAGCTTGTTTGCCATTCTAAATTGCATAAAAAAAGTTACTTTTTATCCCGGCCAATAAACATATCCCGGTTACGCCACTACGAATAAATTATAAATGAACAATACCACAGATAATAATTATATTAAATAATTATAGTATTAACTATACTAGTACAATACGGTGTAACACATAACGATGTATTGAAAGGCTCAATCAAGATTTACCAATGTATTTACGGCCGAAACAGTGCAAATCAAACAGCTAATTATAGATAGACGTTAACAACGCGGGAACAATGTGCCGAGAATAACTTATCATGTTACCCATTCTGTTATGGTATATTGCATACCAGCAACAATGGTTGTTACGTTCTATACACGAGTTTATTATACCGTAGCATGGTAAATAGCTTTTTTTTTCTTTTAATAGGCAATAATGGAATGGTAAATCCGCCTACGCAATCGATATACGCTGGTGGAGTACCAGTGAGGTGATAGATAAGGATAAAAGCAGACCAGTTGGTCCATAGTAACAAATTCATAAAGAATTAACCAAGATGGTTTCCAGGGAGAACCGTGTGGAAGTCGATCTGTTAGGGTATATGCTAGCGACGGGGCTGTTAGTTTCCACTACTAACAATTACTTTTTCCTCCACGGGACAATACCGTATGATTTTACCGTGGCAACATCGATGCTGGAAAAGCAAAATGCAAAGGTACGTAGTGTAACATTTATAAAAGCATTGGGATTCTTAATGTCGACATCTTTAGTAACGTACAGTTCCGTGACCATCTCGAAAATAAGGTTAAACTGGCGTTCAAAAAACTCGGTTTACTTAATAGTGCGAAGCAATACTTCGCATCGGATCAACGACTATTGCCTGGGGGAAAAGGGATTGTTAGTAATGGAGACTGATAATCCCATTGCTAGCAATATACCCAACCAGGTCGACCTCCTCGCGGTTCCCCCCGGAAACTATCAGGGTTAATTCCTGATGAATTCATCATGTTGGGCTAACTGGCCTGTTTTCATTTTCATCTATCACCCTTCACTGGTGCTCCGCCAGCATATCCCGTTAGCGCAGACGGGGTTACAATACCATTTTCACCCATCCAAAAAAAAACGACTATTGCCTTAAGGTGTTGATTAGGTCGTTGATCCGGTACCAATGCCGATTTGCGATTTATAGAAATCACAAATCCGGCCCTACATTAAAATATTTCCATTACATATAGGTGGGAGTACCTAGATACCAGTTTGAACCCTTCGATTCAATGCGAGTTATAAAAAACGACTATCCCAGATTTATAAACGGTATCGAATCTTTAAAAAAGATTTTTCCTTACTCTGTGTGTTTTATCGCTCGTACAATGGATTGTGCTCAGAGGAATTGTAGCATATGATGCCCATAACCATTTTCTACCATCAAACAGCTGGCTATTGAGAAGGAGTACCCTCATACCTTAGAGCCTTAATGGTCGCATTTTTTTTATACAACTTAGAATGACAAACAAGCTGACGGCCCACCTGATGGAAAGTGGTAACCGTCGCCTATAGACAAGAACAGTACCATGGACATAACAGAGTATACTGTTTGGCCCATAATACCCCCCATGCGTTGCCATTCCTGAGGACCCAGGTGTTATTCCAACGTACCTAATAAATTCACGCCATATCCCACCCTTCAAACCGCATTCAGAGAAGTTTCCTCCCACGAACGTTCAGGTTATGGAATGAGCTCCCTGTCGAGGTTTTTCCAAAAGACTGCAGTATAGGATTCTTCAAAAAAGGAGTAAAAAGCTTTCTATAGGGTTGACAATGCGCGCGTAATGTCTCTGGTATTGCAGGCGTTTATAGACTACGGTAACTGCTTACCAGCAAGTAGACCGTATGCCACTTCAACGGTATAATAATTATATATATTAAGAGTGTTTTTTTAAGAATAGCTTAATGAAGTGTGGCATCGTCGTAGTTATCTGACACTTTTCAAAGATTACATAATAATTTTTAAAATTTCTGATTTATTATTTAAAAAGTACTCTGGCGAACGGATGTGAAACGAACCTTTCACATCCTTTTATCCTATCCTTCATAATATTATAAATGTAAAGAATTATTATTATATATATTTATTTCACAAAATAACAACATAATAAAATTTACAGCTATATAGATTACAATTTAAAAACAATCTTTGTGAGAGACTGGTGTAGGTACTAGGATTACGCGTCTTACAGATCACCAGGCTCCCAAACTCAAGGGCATCTATTTTACTTGATCTATAAAGGTAAAAGTATACAAGTTAATAAATTAAATTAGAAGAATGAACGTTTGTTACCCTTTCACGCAAAAACAACTGATCGATTCGAATGCAAATTAGTGCGGGTCATATCTTAACTTACCACATAAGATACTTTACGTACTGATTCATGTGGACAAACCCACCGGATACAGTTAGTTTATAAATTTAGTAGAAGTACTATAATCAAGTTTTTAATCTCTGATCTAAATATATCTAGTAATGTAATTCGAATTTTGTTGAAACAAATAACTCCTCAAAAATAGTAGAATAAGTTCAGAAACGATTCTTTAAGAATACTTCGTGATATACGAGCGAATTTAAAAGTACTTTGTATTATTCCACTGGCTAGGCGAATCAGGAAATGCAGCGTTGGTCGGATTATTGAAACGTGACAAACATACTGCAGATACACATTTACTAAATTAAATAAAGGAAACATTTTGTTCTAAATGTTTACCATCGAAATAATCCTACTATGTAATACTATAGATACAAAGTTTTGTAAAGACGTTTCTTAGTTTGTTACTTAAATATGATTAAACAGCTGAACAGATTCGAATGAAATTTATTACACAGATAGGCTATATCCTAATTTAACAGATACAATACTTTATATACCAATTTACGTGGACAAAGTCACGAGAAATAACTAGTACAATTTATTCTGTTCTATTTTTATTTTTTTATTTTTACTGCATCCTTACTAATATTATGAATATGAAAGTTGGTTTATTTGTTATTTTTTTGTTAGCGCTTTATTTACTTAATCAATTTTCACGAATCATGAAATTTAAACCGATCGATCAATGCAATCCTTATCGGACAGAGTCGCGGGTAAAAACTTAGTTAATCACTGTTTTTTCTTTTTTTTTTTTGTGGAATAATCTTAATAATCTGTTATAATGTATATTTATAAAATACTTAATCAGTATTTTGTTTCTGTTTTCGCTACAAAATTAATATGGAACTTAACCAGAAGTAATACACACAACGACACAAATGAAATGAGTCCAATCCAATCTTTCGGTTGCAGTAATCTGTCAGTTTATTTTTCAGGCAAACAATCATACAGACCGTCTGATGGTAAATGGTTACTACGTAGCCTATAAACGCCTGCAATACCAGCAATGTCGCATACACATTGCCGACCACGAAAAAACCTTTATTACATCCTTTTTGAAGAACCTCACTATAGTCTCAATGATAAATCTCTTCAGGGATTTCACTCCACAACCTGAGCGATCGAGAGAGGAATCCCCTCCGAAACCAGACTGTACACAACCATTTAGGTTGTAGGTTGTGAGTATATTTCCCTGTTACAATAAATCTTCACCAATTCTGAACGAGTACAATTTATTTATTTTATTTATTTATTTAACACTTTATTGCACCAACATAACATGATTTGTTAAACAATTTTCAATACGTATAGTGTAGTACAAAAGGCGGTCTTATTGCTAAGCAATCTCTTCCAGACAACCTTTGGGTAGAAGGAATTAAAGCATAAATAGGTAGGTGGTGAGTTAAAAAAAATAGATTTGTAAAAAATAAAATTTACATGGAGAAAGACTTTGTACAAAATTCATATGCTTAGGTAAGTCTATCCTATTCGTGTTTCTGCCATCAAGCAGTTATGTTGGCATGGCTGTGTTTCGGTTTGTAGAATGGGAGTAAAAGTAACAGGTTACAAAGGCATAACATCTTAGTTCCCAGTAATACCAACACATGACCAGAGGGAGACATTGTACAAAAGTCGTTTGCTTGGGTACCTCTGTCCCATTCATGTTTCTACCGTGAAGCAGTTGTAATTGCATGGCTGTGTGTCGGTTTGAAGGGTGGTATGTGACGTGAATTTACAGGGTACAGAGGAATAACATCTGAGTCCTCAGGAATGTCAACGCATTGGGGGTATCATGGGTGAAACAGTATACTCTGTTATGTCCATGGTACTACTCCTGTCTATAGGCGACGGTTACTACTTTCCATCAGGTGGGTCGTCAGCTTGTTTGCCATTCTGAGTTGTATAAAAAAAAAAAAAAAAAAAACATGAAGGGTATTATAAGCGACACAGTATACTTTGCTATGTCCAAAGTGCTATTCATATTGATAAGCGACAGTTATCATTTCACATCAGCCATTCCAAGTTATATCAAAAACACGGGTATAAAATAACAGAATTTCTTCTCAAGTTTATCAACTACTTATTTTATTACCAATAAAGTCACTATTTTTAAGAACAAAATGTTAAATTACCAAGTCATTATTATGAACTACTATAATATATAAATATACTATAAGCCATAAAACAGAATGATATATATCAAGCCAACTGTACTCGTAATAATTAAAACAAGTGAAATTGGCAATCGACTAAAGAACAAAATGCCCATCCTTTTATAAAAACAAAACGCCGCAATTCAAGCGACACTTCGAAATCGGGAAACTCAATAAAGACAGCGTAGGAAAAACAAGCGAAGCAAACTTCAGTAATTAGAAACGGCTGAATGCAATTACGTGTGTTGCGGACATGGTAGCCGAATAGAGGTACAATGGCACTGAGGTGGATCCATTAGAGTTGCTTTTTTCTGAATGTTCTCTCCGAAATATAATGTTTAACTCTTCAAGAAACACCTGAAACACATAGATAAGCACGAGTAGATTTTTCGCTATATGATGATGTTATCCTACATTTAGTGAAAAGATTATTCATCGTCTGAACTTGTTGTTTGTATTGTTATGTTTATTACCTATGTTACACCACTGAGCTCACAAAGTAGTCGCAATTGATGAATTTGGTTTACCTGAATCGGAAAAAAGTACATACTATAATCTGATTATACGTGGAAAAAAATTAACCATTATATTCTGGGGCATAAGGATGAATTTCTTGTTGCTTGATTCTGCTCATGCTTTGTACACCAGATCTTAATTCTGAAATATATATTATATATCATTGAAAATATATTTTATATTAACAACGACGAAATTCGTCATTGTAATGTCCTCACTATTTAATATTTATTCATATATATAATATTTATTAATGCATTTCATGGTGTCATTATTCACTATATCCAAAACATCACAAAAACACTTTTTCTGCTTGATTCCGCAAATTTCGAAACGCAGCGTATATTTTGCGAGAAGTATTTGCGTGAACAAAACTGTTCAACTTTATTTGAATCTGAATTTAAAAAAAAGATTGTTAAGCTTAATTATCCTTATATAGAACCAATATTTAATATAAAATCTATATTACACTTTGAAAAAAAAATTACAGCAATTAGTTAACAACTTGTTAGCAAGGGTGGGGTTATCCCTAAAAGAGATGTCTTCCAGCCAACCCAGAGCAGTAAGAGAGAAAATGATTAGCGGGTTATCTAGTGCAGGAAAGGTACAAGAAAAATAAATATACAAGTTTTAACATAATTATAAATAATACGAGTATTTATGCTAAACAACCGCTCCATTTCCGTATCTCTGTGACTGAATTATCTGAAGCCTGGAAACGTGTTGAAAATTAGACACCACAGTGACCACAGTGAAAATTACAAACTACCACAATGAAAATGACCTTGCAGTAAACAGAACCTGTATTGATCATAGTAGAATCCGAGCTTAGTCCATGTTGCAACATACATCATGTAAAATGAGTAATGACCTCATGATGTGATATTATCACTTATTTTTTAGAATTTTACGATTCAAAGAAATGACTGATATCATACTAGTATTTATCAGTTACGTCGTGACCATGACCCTCTATCATTATTTCGGGTATTGGGTCTGAGTGGCTGGAATATGCGCTACAAAGTTTTCGTTGCAACTGCCTTTACGTGTTTAGGACGATGAATTTGTATGGAAATCTGAGTTTCCAAAACTATTCACTTGAGGCGGGTCTAAGTTTTCAATATGAATTATAGCTATTATTCACACTGGCCACTCAAGTCTATGCACTTTGTCCCATAAGGATCTTTTGTGCTTCTCCCTTACTTACTTTACTAAGTAGATTTTACCTACTATGTATTTATCTATTAACATTATAACATTTTACAGTTTGAATTACGTGCAATATTAATTATACCTAATTCTTTTTTTTTTCTTTTTCTTCTTTTTTTTATTCGTCCTGTTTATTTAGTTTATATTGTAACTTAATACTGTTAATTTTGCATGTACAAATACATAGCATTAGTTCTTGTGTGTTGGAAGGAACTGACTTACAAGGCACAGGTTACCCTAATTTGTAAGTCAGGGCAAAAAATATGAAACAATGCAACCCTGTATTAATAAAAAAAAAAAATTTATTAAATTTTTACCTTTTAAAGAGAAGCGATGGCAAACTAACCTATTATTATTAATGATATAATAATTATTTGAAAGCATAATTACTAGCCCCTTCTCTTAACCCCAACGATACATGAATGAATGAATGGATAGATATTTGTTAAGATTTTACTGAAATAGGTGTTACATTATGAAAGTCCACACCACGGGTTATATGGTTAGAATTACTTTGTTCAATTCCGCTACCGTTAGTATGTGTGTGACTGCCAACACTTGAAGGTTGACCACCGTCATCACTATCAGATGTTTTAAAACCGTCAATATTAGCCCGCAATCACCGACCGCCATTTCGTACACGCACGTTTTGCCCACGTGTTTCACCTGTAAACGAGGCATCTTCAGAGAAATTATTAGATCCCTGCTTGGAGCATAATGTTAATCATTCGGCACGAAATCTGGAAATTTACAATTTAGGTGCTGAACGGTAGTAATACCAATATTATAGTGGTAGCAAATCTTTAAGTGTTGGCAGTCACACACATACTAATAGTAACGGAATTAAACAAAATTATTCTAACTTAACAACCACGGATTTTTATTATTATTTCAAACAAAACTACTGAATAGATTTAAATAGAATTTGGAACATGGATAAATTATATATCGTTACTCACTGAATGATGCGGGCGGAGTCGCGGGATACAGCTAGTTTATACTATTGGTAAGGATTAACTGCACCAGTAAATTTCAGATAAGCTACAACAAGGATACGCATGCTTGCGCAGTCATAGTTTCACATATAATATTCCATTGGGTCAAATTTCACAATGCAGATCCTCTATATTATGTGTGCAGTGTGCTTAAAGCTATTCCCATCTTGAGTAATGTCTGCCTTACAAGCCTGTGTCCTGTTAGATCGTATTATGAATTTAGCCACTCTGCATTTACTATTATATTAAACCTTTTTTTATGCAACTTGTAATGGCAAACAAGCTGACGACCCACCTAATGGAAAGTGGTAACTGTCACCTATAAACATGAGCAGTACCATGGACATAACAGAGTACACTGTTTCGCCCATGATACTCCCCATGCGTTGCCATTCTTGAGGACTCAGGTGTTATTTCTCTGTACCCTGTAAATTCACTGCCATATCCCACACTTCAAACCGAAACATAGTCATGTAAACACAAATGCTTCGCGGTAGAAACACGAATGGGACAGAGGTGTCCAAGCAAACAAATTTTGTATAGTCTTAATCACGATGGGCTAACTGACCTGTTTTCATCCTAATCTATTATCTCTCACTGCTGCCACGCCAGCGTAAACCGATAGCGGGCGGTCCCCGTCACACGGACAGAGTCACGGGTAAAAACTAGTAATAAGTTTATTCACAGAAACAACAAATACATTTGACGATACAATGAATTCTGTTTAGAAAGCAATAAATTATTTCCGTTAAAGGCAAAAGATACAATAATCAGTATTAAAACGCTCGTTTTAAATTTACGACAGCTCGTAAAAACACCATTACTTAGAAACATAACAGGCAATCAAACGGTACTATAGCCAAGATAATTCCTTCATCAATTTTACGTTGCACATTCCTTGTCGCCAAAGTTTGCCAGTTAATGGAAAAATCCATTCCCGTGTGATATCATCACCTTAAACTTTTAATGATGATTGCCTATCTTTAGTGATTTTCGCAGTTTAAGTGGCGAACGGTTAACATTAGGCTCCGAGCAGAGATCTAATAATTTACCTGAAGATGCCTCTTTTAGAGGTGAAACACATATCGCTGAATGTGTGTGAACAAAATGGCAGTCGGAGATTGATGGCTAATATGGAAGGTTATGGATTTTTACACAGTGGACAATTAACAGTTGTATGGTATGTAAATGGAATTCAATTAGTTTGAATTAAGAAATGAAAAAGGTATTTGGTATAAAACTATTCAAGCTGAACCTCCTTCAACATCTGCATGTATTTATACGCATGTTTTACAAATAAATAAATCTTGAAATCTTTAAATCCTTGGTTTTGTGGGATCAAAATCAATAGATATAATTTTAAATTAGCTGTTCGACTTCGATCTGGTGATTATACATCACCAGAGGGAGATTATGTACAAAAGTCGTTTGCTTAAGTACCTCTGTCCCATTCGTGTTTCAACCGTAAAGCAATTGTGTTTGCATGGCTGTGTTTCGGTTTGAGAGGTGGAATATGGCGTGAAATTACAGGGTACAGAGGAATAACACCTGAGTCCTCAGGAATGGCAACGCATGGGAGGTATCATGGGCGAAACAGTATACTCTGTTATGAACATGGTACTGCTCATGTCTATAGGCGACGGTTACCATTTTCCATCAGGTGGGCCCTCAGCCTGTTTGCCATTCTAAGTTGTATAAAAAAATCAAAAAAATTTGCATATATGATGGGAAAGTCCTAGTAACCCCGAAGTCCAGTTTGTGATACCATTGATGATATGCAACATATACAATTAGAGTGTTATGTAAACTCGTGGGAAAGAGAAGAATTCATACGCCACTCTAACTTAAATAAATTTAATATTGATCTCATTCAATCTATACTGGCTGAAACCAAATCAGAAATTTTTTAACATCTCTGTAAATAATTAATGCCCATTAATTCCTCTCTTTTCGTGTCTAGGGAAAGTTAATAAAACTTTATTTGAGGAATCAGTTCAGGGTACGTTAGGGCTGATATACCAGAAGAAGGTAAAATCCCTTAATAATTAAAAAAAAATGTTGTACAGTAGGTACCTAGATATAACATAAATTAAAAAAAAAATATATCCACAAAATTACACATTTTCCTTTTAATTACCCTATAAACATTTATCTCGTTAAATACAATATTATTTAACCATCACAAATAATTTGTACATGAATTGGTAAAAAAATATCTAATTTAATCTAAATAAAGTTTTGAACGCCCACGATTTGAAATAAAAACTAAAATAACAAAAATAATAAATAACAAATACATAAATATTTGCTATTTTTGCAATATCAATCTCATATAAATCCAAATCTGTCACATGCATACAAAAACACGCACACTAGTGTAATCATTTCCTTATCTCGTTTTTGTGATTGCATTGCCAGTCTGTCAGGACATGAGAATGATATTATATTACGCCCATATTTGATATCATTGTAATTACTTCCAGAGAGCCTACCATTAAATGTAATTTATAGACTGAACGAAATACAAATTTCATGGTAAAATTATATAATATATAAATTTAAAAAATATTTAAAATGTTAAAAGATCATTCCTTTGGACTTTTATGGTAGGATTTATGACGAACAAAACGTTAAACTCCATTTAATGGAACGATTTCGGTATGAACATAAACACGAAATTGAGTCCGAAATTTCAAAATTTTATTTCACAGTAGATCCCTCTGATCATTAGGATGGACCAACAGGCCTGACTTAGTCTCTTACTAGTATTCCATTACGATATACCACCAAAACAATAAATTAGTCGATTTACATCTCTTTAAAAAACTTTATCCATTAAAAACCCCATTAAGTGTTACAACTGCAACTGCCTAGTACATCTTCCAAACGGATTGTTCTAGAATGTATACTATGTCCTATAAACAAGTCGGGCAGTTCAATTTAAAGCAGACTGTATGGTGAACTAACCTCTAAACTACAGACATAAATTGCGGTTAACATTCATCAATTAGAGTTAGCTTAACACGCATTAAATTGACATAACAGACCTGAGAATTGGCTAGAATTTATATGTATATATACATATATATATCAGGATGCTAACACATAATATACGATACCTTCTCTTTTCGGTTCAGTTAAAAAAAAACTTAAAATAAAACCTTGTATCAAGCTTCCTGGCGTGCGTTTTTCACGGCATTTTCTTCCACGCAGTATTTCTGAACAGATACGACATTATAACCTAAAAAAAGAGCATATTCATTTTTAAAAGGCCGGCAGCACACTTGCAATGCCTTTGGTGTTGTTGGTGATCATGGGCGACGGTAGTCGCTTACCATCAGGTGAGCCGCATACTCGTTTACCCTCTGTGTTGTAAAAAAAACCTGGCCGGTGTGGTAATAACATTTTTTTTAATATTTAAATTTTTTTTTATTTATGAATTTATTTCCATTCATCACGATTTAGTTGAAAATAATTAAAAATTAGATATGTCGCGAAGTTAATAACAATAAACAAACTAAATACGTCGTTTCATACAAAACTTATGAGTGTATGAGTCAAAGATTTTGACCGTCTCGGGGTTTTTATCTATCATTAAAATCGAACAATCTCGAACATGGCCATAACTAGGGAGGGAGGCATTGAGGGACAATGCCCTACCTTAAAATGAAAGGCCCAAAGAAAATTAGACAGATTCGCTTTTTCGAAATCACTTAATTATGGCTTCTGCCCCACCTTAAAATTGGGTCTAGCTACGGCCGTGACCTCGAAGATAATAATACACCAATGTGATTCATAAACCATATAATAATTAAGTTTTTTTTAATAGACAATAATGGAATGGTAGCTCCGCCTGCGCTAACAGTATACGTTAACAGAGCACCAGTGAAAGATGATAAGTGAGATTGAAAAATCAGGTCAGTTAGCTTATCGTGATGAATAACTCCACCCAAAGTTCAGCAGGATGGTTTCCAGGGGGGAGCATGCGAAAGTCGTAAGGTAAGGTGTATTGTTAACAATGGAGCGGTTGGACAGTCTTGATGTATAAATAAAATTACGCATTAAAATCTACTTGTACATTTTATGCTAACAAAAAGTTGACTCGTTTCGGAGGCTCGATGCTCTATCTATATAATCTAAGATTACAATATTTCTTCGTTCAAAGTTCATCCAAATTTGTCGAATCAAAGCAGATCTTTGATTGTTTTCATAAGGTTTTATTATGCATTTAATTACCATATTTGTAATAGATAGGTGTTATCGAATATTATAAAAATACTTAAATGCATTTTTATATTCTCGAGTCATTGTGTCAATTGTTTCTACATATTTATAACAGGTCATTATGATAACCTGTGGTACGGACAATGATGGGTACAATTAAATATCAAATCAAATAAAAATAAATTTATTAATAGCAGGTCCGTTACACCGTCTTATAATACATCATTTTAATATTTATGCTCTATTTGAAATTAATTGAAGACAACAGCAGTATGTAATAGCTGTAGCGTGAATGTACTGGGCTGTACCCAGAGGAATAACACCTGAGTCCTGAGGAATGGCAACGCATGGGAGGTATCATGGGCGAAACAGTATACTCTGTTATGTCCATGGTACTGCTCATGTCTATAGGCGACGGTTACCACTTTCGATCAGGTGGGCCGTCGGCTTGTTTACCATTCTAAGTTGCATAAAAAAAAGTCGGTCACCTTGATTCTTGTTGGTGGTTAATTCAAAGTGGCTGACATAGCCCGAAGGATAAACAAACTGAAGTGACATTGCCACTTGCTAAATACCCTGAAAGTTTGGAGACGAAAATCTTTAACAATTGCGTGTTTTTTTTAATGGGTGAAAATGACATGGTAACCTCGCCTGCGTTATCGGTTTACACTGACTGGGTACCAGTGAGAGGTGCTAGGTGAACATGTAAAGGCAGGTCAGTTGGCCCATCGTGACGAATTCAACGATAAATTAATCAGAAGAATTTCCAGGGGCAACTGCGTGGAGGTCGACTTGACAGGGTATACTGATAGCAATGGGGACTAACCTCCCCATTTCCTATGGAACCAAAACATCGTCCTACACGGTTGCTCGTATACAAAAGCTTCAAATTACTCAGCGAGTTATGGAGAGCTAACCTATAGCTAACTTATATAAACTTAAACTCGAATAAGTAACAAATATCCGAACATTCACATTTATAATATTAGTAGAATATAATTGTAGTAAAGCCATCTGGTCCCTATATAGAATGTACAGTAGCACCATTCTATACAGGGACACATATAGAGGAAAGGGTGCCTTCCTTTTCCATCAGGGGATGGGCAGCAGCGTCGCTCTTAAAATATGACCAAAGCCTAACTGCGATTACTAACCCTGCTTCCAATCATGGTAAGTACCG